GACTGTAAATTGCATGCTAATTATCATTCATATGTGCAATCTATTATTTTTTGTTAAAAAATTAAATTTTACTCCAACAAATTGAAAAATCTATGGTGGAATATGATGAGTATAACAGCAATAATAGTAATAGTAATAAAAATAGCATTTCATAGTTTTACAAAAATGAGGAAAAGTTAATGTAAAAATAAAATGCAGGTAGCGCATGCATTACAGTACTTGCATGAAGCAGGTTATATACATCGTGATGTTAAACCTTCAAACTGTTGCATTGGTATACCACCCGAAACTGCTATTGTTTATCTTATCGACTTTGGTATCACTGTTTCGCTTTTTTTTTTTTGTTTTTCGCCTTATCCTTTTCCAATTCTATTTTAATTTGTAAATTTAAATGAAAAACAAAAACAACAAAAAGGAAAATTTTTCAGTTTGTTTTTTTTTAGTATATTTTCATCGATTGTTGTTAGCAATTCAGGAAGTAATATGAATAAATGTTTATTATACTTTATGAAAAATATAGTCATATCAAATTTCTTTCATGTTTTTTTAAATTGATTTAATCATTAGTATAAAAATGAAAAGTAAACAATTATCTGTTAATGAATAATTAATTAAAATGCAAGAGAGGAAAGAATAAAAAAAATCAGAAGAGTTTATAATTTATTTACTTTCTTTATCTTCATTAATTTTCTTTTTTTGAATGAAATAAAGTAAGAAATAAAAGAAACGAAATTATTCGAAATGCATTTTTTTTTTGTTAAAGGAATGTGTCGAAAGGTGAGAAATTCAACAGGTAAATGGCATATGCCACGGTTAAAATCAATATTTAAAGGAACTTTACGATATGCATCAGTAAATGCAATAATTACACATCAGTGTGGACCGTGTGATGATATGATGGGATGGATTTATTCAATTGTAAGATTTCATATTGAAAAATAATGACACAATTAATGCAATTTCATCAATTCTCAATTAATTCATCTAAATACTCCTTCATCATCGATTGTTTAGTATTGAAATTTTTATATTAAAAAACAAATTATTATAATTTTCAAATTTCATCCAAAAAAAAAAGAAAGGGAATACATTTTCAAGTTTGTGAACAAAAAAATTATCATATTTTTAAGTTGTATATTTAAAAAAAAATATTATTGCATTTTCAAGTTGTATACAAAAAAAAAAGAAAATATTACATTATCTGCTTGTCACAATGTTACTATTGTTTAATTAATCTATTTATTAATTAAACTTTTCAATTTTTTCATTACAAAAAAATAAAAAGTCACAAAAAAAAATTTACTTAAATGCATTCATCATATCATAACAATTACAATTAATTTAAAATATAAATGTATATACTTAGGTAAAAAATTATGCTTAATTTATACTTAAAATTATGCTTAATTTATAAACTGATAAAAATTATGCTTAATTTAGGTCAACATCTTACTCACATTACATTCCTATATCTGGACAAAATATTAACAATCATTATTATTACAACAATAAATAACAAATAGTAGTAAAAAAAAAATCGATAATTGTTCAGATTGAATTGGCATTATCAAAATTACCATGGGCAAAAAGTGCGCTCCGTGATATGGTACAACAAAAGTTAACAATTACCGGTGAACAGTTATGTGCTCAGATGCCACCACCATTTTTGCAATGTCATAATTATATTCAAAGTTTAAAACCAACCGAAATGCCACATCATAATTTTATCAATCAATGCCTCAAACGATGTATTCCATTGAATGTTAAACCAAATGATCCATATGATTGGGAAATTATCAACAATACTTAAAACGTCCATTTTTCTCTCTCTTTTTCTCAATTTAATGTTTTTCAATCTTTCCTGATGATAACGCTTATATGCCATATAATAGAAAATGACAAAATTTAAATTTTATATTCTAAAGCCAAAAAAAAAAAAGATGGAATTAGGGATAAGAAAATTGTCCAAAAGCTTAATATAAGTAGGATTAAATATAATTATGAGCAAATTTATATTAAGACATGAAATATAAAACGATTCCTCAATTGATCCAAACGAATGTATAAAAACAGCCACATTATCATTTGTCGGATGATACTTATCATCTATCATATCATTGTAATTCTAAATTTAAAAATAAATGAGAATTGTTATCCCAACGCTGAAAACAGTCTCTGAAAGTAGTTATAAAGATGGTTTCTGACATTCATATTTAAATCAATTCCAAAATATTCCTCTAATTTCAACCAATTGTAACATGTAAAAAACAGATAAAAAACAATTTATTATTGAAAAGAAATCTTTTTAACAAAAATAATATGCTGCGGTCAGACTCCCAAAATAATTCAGTAATATCACGAATTTTTTTACCGCAATCCACTTTACCTCTGCGTAAACTGAAGACAATACATGTAGAGATGAAAATTTTTCAACTCTATATAAGAAACACAGATGGTATACAAAGGAGCAAAAAACTCACCTTGTATCAATCAATAACCGCAAACATAAATTCTTTAAAGATTAATTACAAAACTAAAACAGCAAAAAGTGTCACATAATCGAAAACCGAAGAAATGACAGTTGCGTTACGTTGGAAATGCATAAAATTTTCAAATAATACTTCTAAAAGAAAATAACTTAAAAGACAGAGAAAAGCGAATTTTTCTTCGCTTAAAATTCTCACCTTTCGAAAATTTGCAGAAAAGAATTTTGGTAAAAAAAAGTGTTGCTGGTGTATCAATAGAAAAAGCCAAAAATCAATCACATAAAATGGGAATAATTTAACAGCGGGAAAATCATCAATTCAATATCATCATCAACTGGGACGACAATACAAGATGAAGTTGAATGTTTCTGTCCAAAAAAATATGCTATGAATGAAAGAATAAATCGCCGACAAAGCGGTGCAAAAAACATCAACGGGGTGGGGAAAGAAAAAAAAAACAAGAAATTGCAAACAAAAATGCGCCATTGGAAATAATTATCATTATTATATTGTGCAAACAATAGTGACGCAGACCAAATCAGCACTTTTTAAAACACCGTTTTTCTGATAATCCAAAACCACATTTCACTCCTAAACGGCTAGATTTTAATGACGAACTGTCTGTGCGAAACCAGCACTTGGTGCACCGTAACCACGACCGCCATAACCACCACGACGTACAAAGCCACGTGCACGCCCACGCATAATTCCGAGGCGACGTGCCGGGTCGATACGACGCCAGACATACTTCTTCAATTCATTGAAACGCTTTTCAATTTCCTGAAGACACAACAATTCTTCCAGAATATACAATACTTTATCACCATAGTTGACATAACTATGTTCACTTATGTTACGTTATATAATTTCTCAGCATTATCCCTAAAATTTGCATTGAATTTTCATAAATATGTATATATATGAACAAAAACCTACCTGCTCTTCGTATGGGCCCGACCACGTATGCGTCTCCTTGATCTGTTGGCGAAGTCGCATCAGCGCCTTACCACCCTGATTTTCACCATCCCAAAAAATCGGCTTATTTGCTTCATCACGGTTTTTGCGCCAACCTGTGCCGAAAACCTGCAAAAAAATTAGTGTGCTCTAAGTTCCTAAAAAATTTAATATAACTACATCTTGAAATTCACTTCATTAAAGATCTTGTAAAAAAGTGTACTTTGTCTTGCGAAGCAACGGCAATGTATGTTTTTCCGGTATAAACTAGCAGATTCGCAATCCAGCGTGTCTGTTCAAGTTTCAGACGCTGGCCAGTTTCCCATACATTCATTTTCACCTGAAAAAATCAATCTGTTAAACAAAGTATTGAATTTCCTAAAGAAAACAATTTTCCAGAATATGCGACTAAAAATTCATCAAATTCAAACATATTTTTATACAAATTGACCTGCAACTGTAACACATATCCTAAAAAGATCGACAAAAGAAATGATGATCGATTTCAATTTACTTCATTCCATTTGGCTTCGTCGAAATCCTTAATATCCTTCATCGCTTCCTCTGCCTTGATTGTCGAAGGAGCATCCAGAATTTTTGCCATCGTTTCAGTGTCCCCAAAATGTTCCGCCATTTTGTACCTAAAAGTTTCAATACTGCAAACAATAAGCACATAGCACCACACATCATCGATCATTGCAATATCAAACGATTTACTGTAAAAAAACTTGGAAATTTTTGCATAAACCAATAAATCTTACCAGTAGTAGCGTTCAGCTGATTTGTGCTCGATGCCTCTTTCATCCCGAATGGAAACTTCGAATCTCAAACTAAGAGGATCTTGAGCACCTGCAAATAAATCTTTGCATATTATAAAAACTCGAAGAACTTTTACGTTTTTTTTTTTTCAGTCCATGCGACATAATGGTATTTGGGATAAAATCTGAAAAAATGAAAACCTCCCACAAGGATGAAATCACGTCCAATATCATCGTAATCCAAATCCGCCTCAGTTGCTCCAACTTTCAGATTATCCGTTTCAGCTGATCCTCCACTTAATCCATTGATGGTCTCCTGCATGCGCTTCATCTTCTGCTTCACTCGTATGTTTTCCAGCTGAAGCATGACAACTCCAAAATATCTCATGCTCATACAATAGAATAATGAGATAAGCATATTTTGAGTAAATTATCTCCGAGACAATTAATAGAGCAAATTCACACGCAATAAAATCCAACAAAACTTGAAAGCTATTAATCAAACTTTGAGTTTTCGAACTGCTTGTCGTAGGTTATCCTTTTCCTTCTCCAGCAGAACAACAGCATTGCGAATCTGCGCCGAATCTTGCTTAATCCAAATAATTTCCTGTAATTGTGACGCCTTCATGCAACATAACCGACTGCACGCCATGATTCCCACAACCAGAATCAGTCAACGATTGCAGAATTGAATTTCTTGAATTTATTAGACAAAAATTGATATGCAAATTTCATCGCAATTTACCTGCTGCAAGCTGTAGGTGCTGTTGCCTGAGCGACGACCGTTGCCCGAAAGCGGTTGGGGGGTAGCTCCTTCATCCATTGTAATGTGTGGTGGTTGTTGATGATCAACACTGCTGTCAAAGTTGTTGAAATTTCCCAAACCGGTGAAATCTCCGTACCCTAAATAAGGTACCAATAACGAGCTTCTTGAAACCTTCCCGGAGAAGCAGATGCACTTCACAGTAACTGCTCAATTTGACCCTTTCAATTGTTTGGGGCAAATACTCACTTTTTCGCTGAATATGACCGACTGTTCACACCACTCATTTTTTCTGTATTATCCCAAAAAAAAAAAAAACAACTTCTTACTTACTAACGAAAAACGAAAAACCTACTAATGAATAATCCACTATGAAAAATGACCTTAAATTAGCCACCGAAAAACACTGTTCGCAAAAAGACAATAAGATTACAGGGGAAAAGTCTTAGTTTTTTTTTTAGTTCATAAAATAAGTTGTTAAAATAAAGATGGGCCCTTACCTCGCGTTCCGACTCCGGCGAAGCTCATCCCAAACCAAATAGTGTACCGTTCCCCGTTGAGTGACCCTACAAAAAGCTAATAAATATTGCATTTGAAGGAGCTCGAACTTAACGGAGCAAAGAAGAGCAATAGAATACATGTCTTCAAACCGTAAAGACTTGTGCCGAAAACTAAAAAAAAAAAAAAAA